AGACGAGTGGGGGGTATAGTCAGAATTTTACCGGGAAGATATAGTTATTTTTATCAATAAATTGAAATCACCATCTCTTATATATATATATAGTAACATAATATGTGGTTATAAAATATTATTCTCTTAATTTTTAGTTTTTATTTATTTATTACATTCATAAATTTTTGTTACATGAATTTGTAGCTCATCTTTGACAAACATTTAGCGGTTACAAAAATGCACAAACTTAAAGATTGTTCTTTTTTAATAATGTAATAAACGCACACTAAAACTCAAATTATATAGGTATTTAATCTTTCATATTAATTCAAATTCTCTAACTAGAATAGTAAAATTTTCACTCCCTCAACTAGACATTATTAACAACTTCTATCATTTTTTTAAAAATTATATTCTAGATTATTCGAAGAATAATTCAAATTTTAAATAAATTGAGTGAATCATCAAAAAAATATTTTAGGAATTTATATTTTTGATGATATTATTTAGATTTATAATTTTTTTATCAATTTATTTTAATACCCTTTCAGATTTGTTTTCTTTTTTAATTAGAATGATTATAGTATTTAAATTTTATATTACAATTTTATTTTATATATAAAGCCAAAAATAATAAAATCATGGTGTGCATTTTATTTAAGATCTTTGAACACGAGTAAACTTATTGTATGAGGAAGAATTTTTTCTATCAATGGCATCAAAGCTATGATAAGGAACACACAAAAGTTTGAAATGTTGTTATTTGATGGTCAGGCAATTTTTATGATTTAACAGTGTATCATTCAAGATATTTTATATTAACAAGGTCTGAATTAAGGTTTGGAAGATGAAAGAAAAATACTATAAATAAAAGGGAATGAAGTCAAATCCAAAAAAAGGTTGTGAGCACGATTTGGTTAACTTTTACTCCCGGATAACGTACAATGTGTTAAAGAAAAAACACTAAAAGTCTTGTGGGAGAAACTCGAAAGCATTTACGCGACTAAGTCATTAACCATTAATCGCCTATGTTTGAAGATGGAATTGTATCAACTCAAAAAGGAAATGGGAGGAAATTTTCATGATTACATTAATTATTTCAACCAGCTAGTATGTCAATTAATGTTAAATATAAATGAAAAAATTTCTAATGAAGAGAAAACAATGCTATTTCTGGCTTCACTACTGTCTTATAAATCTTTAGTTCAGACATTACTTGTAGGAAAACATCATTGAAGTTAGATGATATGACAATCGCTCTATGTGAGAAATACGTTTCTACGTTTCTGTTAGGATTCTCAACATTAGCTGGCAAGTTAATTTTTCCTTACTGTCAATTCCGTTATCCTTGCTACGTTGGCCAGTTTGTTAGAATGGTTAGTTATTTTCTTTTGATTTTTGTATTGTCTATGCTGTATATATATTCAGCATCACTGTACATTACGTTTCGGGTTAGTAATAATGAGGATTGAAGCATTTCAAAATACTCTTAGCATTTCTGTCATGGTACCATCGCTGAAACCTCACCCTTCTTCTGCTTAACGTTCTCTTCTTCTTCCTCAATACTTGACCATGGCTTCCCCCAGCCAGAACACTACACAGACACCGGATCACCTGGTGAATCCGGCAAATCCGCTCTACTTGCATCCTGGAGAGAATCCAGCATTAGTACTTGTTTCGCCTATTCTCACGGAGAAAAATTTTCACCAATGGGAGAGAGACATGGTAGTCTCCCTTGAAACCAAAAACAAGGAGAAGTTCATTGATGGTACTCTTTCTTGTCCACCTATTACAGATCCACTACACGAGGCTTGGCGTAGATCCAATCGGATGGTGATGTCATGGCTCACTCGTTCCATGACTCCTTCGATCAAACAGTCGGTGATGTGGATGGATACGACATTGGAGATTTGGCGGGATCTCAAGGATCGCTTCTCTCATGCTGACAAATTCCGGATTTCTGATCTTCAGGATCAGATTCTTGCTTGTCGTCAAGGTGACTTCAGTGTTTCTGAATACTATACGAAACTAAAAATCCTGTGGAAAGAATTGGAGCTTTATCGGTGTGTTCTGACTTGCACCTGTTTGACACCTTGCAAATGTGGTCTTCTCTCTAAACTTCACAAAGAAAGAGAGGATGATTATGTGATTAGATTTCTTCGCGGACTTAATGAGAGCTATGCACAAGTTCGTTCTTAGATCATGATGCTAGATCCAATGCCTTCGATTGTCAAGACTTTTTCTATGGTTCTTCAGCATGAACGTGAATTCATTGGCCTCATTCCGAAACATTCTGTTCCAGATTCTTTGGCTTTTGCTGCTATGTCCACTAATCAACCCAGCTTCAACTCCTCCGACAGGACCAATTCCAATGCCAGCAAGAACAATTCCAAGAACAAAAAATTCTGTGAGAAATGCAAGAAAACCAATCACACCATTGAGACTTGCTACTTTCGTATCGGTTTTCCTGCTGGTTACAGAAAGAATAAAACCAACAACAAAGCTTCTGCCAGTTTGGTTGCAGTGGATTCAGCTGCCTCTCTTCCACCACTAGATTTGGATGGTAATCCTACTAATGACCAATTCACTTTCTCTAAAGACCAGTATCACGCACTCTTGGCTTTGCTCCAACACACTAAAGATCATTCATCCTCAGTCAATCATGCTTCTGTCCACAACTCAGGTACATCTTATGCCTCTAATCATTGGATCGTTGACAGTGGTGCCACTGACCACATTTGTCCAACCAAATCTTTATTTCATAACCTTCGCGCCACAAAACCAATACCCATTAAACTGCCTAATCACACTACTGTCATTGCCAATTTTTCAGGAAATATTCATATAGGTGACTTATTACTAGCTGATGTTCTGTTTGTACCTGAATTTTCTATTTCTCTCATATCTGTTCCCAAGCTTGTTTCCACTGTTGATTGTATGGCAGTGTTCTGTGATTCTCACTGTTTCTTTTTCCAGAAATCTCATTTCAAGATGATTGGAGCAGCTAGGAAGATTGATGGCTTGTACTGTCTTGAAGAATCAAATGATTTGAATTGCAATGAATTTTTACAACATTCTGTTATAAATAAATCAAATATTTCTGTTGTACATGCAGTAAATACCGGTGAATTGTGGCATCATAGACTCGGCCACACTTCGAGTTCCATTTTGCAGTTGTTATCTTCTCAATATCATGATATTATATACAAAAATTGTACGCCATGTGATACTTGTCACTTTGCCAAACATAAGAAATTACCCTTTCCTGTTCGCATCTCTAAAAGTTCTCATCTCTTTGAACTGTTGCATGCTGACATTTGGGGACCTTTACACACAATTTCCATTGATGGTCATAAATATTTCTTAACGCTTGTTGATGACTTCAGTAGGTTCACATGGGTCCATCTTTTAAAATCAAAAGCTGAGGTCAAAACTGTTCTTCCTAAATTCATTAATCTCATTGAAAATCAATTTGGTATAAAACTTAAAAGACTAAGGTCTGACAATGGAAAGGAATTTTTCTTAACTAATTTCTTTTCCTCCAAAGGCATTTTTCATGAAACCTCATGCATTGAAACACCTCAACAAAATGGCATAGTTGAGCGCAAACATCAACATATTTTGAATGTAGCTCGAGCCTTACTTTTTCAATCTGGTTTGTCTTCTGTTTTTTGGTCTTATGCTATAAAACATGCTGTTCATCTCATCAACAGGCTCCCTACTCCTTTTCTTGAAAATAAATCTCCTTATGAATCAGTTTTTGGAAAAAATCCTGACCTTAGCACACTTAGAGTTTTTGGTTGTTTAGCTTTTGCTAACACTATCACTTCTGGCAGAACCAAATTAGACAAAAGAGCCTCTAAGTGTATTTTTCTAGGTTTCAAACCAGGGGTCAAAGGTTATCTCTTATATAATCTCACTACAAAATCTTTTTTGTTATCTCGCAATGTGATTTTCTATGAGTCCCATTTTCCATATGCTTCTAATTCCCCATCTGTTTTTGATAACCACACCACTGGTACTACTGCATCTCAACAGTCATTTGATTCTTTAATTGCTTTTGACATTATTTATGCTGTTCCTAATCATGTTACTTCTGACATTGTCTCTAGTAATATTGATCATAATGTTGTTGAACCAGTTATGCAATTCAATGATGATTCTAATGATGCTGTGCAAATAGTTGATCAACCTGCTAGAATTTCAACTAGACCTAGGAAACCACTTGCTTACTTGTCTGATTATGATTGTCCAACTCTTTCTTCTGCTAATACTTCCTATTGTACTCTTTATCCTTTGCATTCATATTTGTCATATTCCAATTGTTCTGACTCTCACACTGCCTTTTGCATGTCTTTATCTGCCACCATCGAGCCTACTTCCTTTAAAGAGGCTTGTCAGCATGATCATTGGCAGCAGGCTATGCTTACGGAAATTCAGGCTCTTGAGAGGAATAGAACTTGGTCATTGGTCAGATTGCCGCCAAAGAAGAGGGTTGTTGGGTGCAAATGGGTCTACAAGACTAAACTGAATGCAGATGGGTCCATAGAAAGACATAAGGCACGACTTGTTGCCAAAGGGTTTACACAAACTGAAGGCATGGATTTTTTTGAAACTTTCTCACCTGTTGTGAAGTTAACAACAGTCAGATTCCTTCTTTCCGTTGCAATTTCTCACAACTGGTTTTTACACCAGCTTGATGTTGATAATGCTTTTTTGCATGGTGATTTAGATGAAGAGGTTTATATGAAACCTCCCCCGGGATTGATTCTTCCTGAACCTCATTTGGTTTGTAAATTGCACAAGTCTCTCTATGGACTCAGACAAGCTTCTCGGCAGTGGAATTCTAAGCTCACCTCTGCCTTAATCTCCTATGGTTTCTCTCAGAGTCCTGCTGATCACTCCCTCTTCATCAGACACTCTTCTACTTCTTTTACTGCTCTGCTGGTTTATGTTGACGATATAGTTCACTGGTGATAGCATGCAGGATATTGTTGCTGTTAAGCAGTTTTTACATCATGAATTCAGAATCAAAGATTTGGGAAACCTCAAATTTTTTTCTTGGTTTTAAAGTTGCTAGATCACAGCGGGGTCTTATTCTGAACCAGAGAAAATATTGTTTGGACATTTTGGCCGAATTTGGTTTCACCGGTTGCAAGCCTGCCAATTCCCCTTCGAATCCTACTGTTAAACTCAAGGATGATGAAGGTGATCTTGTTCAAGATCCTACTGCTTACAGGAGATTAATTGGTAAATTGCAGTATTTAACAAACACTCGTCCTGACATTTCCTTTGCTGTTCAGCAAGTTAGTCAGTTCATGTCCAAGCCCAGATACTCTCATCTAAATGCTGCGTTCAGGATCTTGAAATATCTCAAAGGATGTCCCGGCTTAGGTCTTTTCTATCCTTCTGCTAATCCTCACAGAATTCAGGCCTTTTCTGATTCAGATTGGGCTAATTGTTGTATGACTAGAAAATCCACTACTGGTTACTGTGTCTTCTATGTAATTGTCTTATCTCCTGGAAATCCAAGAAGCAATCCACAGTTTCTAGGAGCTCTACTGAAGCTAAATATAGAGCTTTAGCTTCTGTTGCTTGTGAACTACAGTGGTTAAAGTATGTTGCTGATGATTTGTGTCTCCAAATTCCACTCCCATTTCCCACTTTTTGTGATAATCAGTCTGCCATTCAGCTGGCTAAGAATCCATCCTTTCATGAACGAACCAAACACATTGAGGTGGATTGTCATCTTATTCGTGCTAAGATTATTGATGGGCTCATTGTTCTTTCTCATGTTCCTTCGAAGCATCAATTGGCAGACATGTTCACCAAGCCACTTTATCCCGGGCCTTTCAATGTTAATTTGTCCAAGATGGGCTTGCTGAATATTCACCACCCATCTTGAGGGAGGGTGTGAGAAATACGTTTCTACGTTTCTGTTAGGATTCTCAACATTAGCTGGCAAGTTAGTTTTGCCTTACTGTCAATTCCGTTATCCTTGCTACGTTGGCCAGTTTGTTAGAATGGTTAGTTATTTTCTTTTGATTTTTGAATTGTCTATGCTGTATATATATTCGGCATCCCTGTACCTTACGTTTCGGGTTAGTAATAATGAGGATTGAAGCATTTCAAAATACTCTTAGCATTTCTCTGTCACTCTAAGAGAGAATGATGAAAATGAAAATATTGATACTAAGCCCATGTTTGCTTCTATGGAAAGACTATTCATGCAGATGGAAAGCGATGTATGGAACGTGTTTGTTTCGAGTGAAATACGAAGAAAGAAAAGCGAGGAAAAGCGGGAGAGTTGTACGGAGGGTTCTTCGATAAATCATGGAGAAAAGCGGACAAAACCACGTTGGCAAGGATAGAAAGACGTGGTTGCCCTTCTGAAAATGCAGTTGTCCATCACGTGCGTACTCGATTATGCATGGCACATAATCGATTATGGGCCAGCATAATCAATTATGCATGACACATAATCGATTATGTGCCATACATAATTGATTATGGTGACATATTTTTGCTTCCAGTCGTGGCCTAGAACGGGCCGTTCCAAACTACTAAAACAAGGGTAATTTAGTAGTTTAGAACGGGTCGTTCCCAAACTGGAACAGGTCATTCCAAACTACTAAATTGGCTTAAAAACCCTAGTTGAGAATGAATCATTCCAAATTGGTTGTTATGGATAAAAATGCAAATTAGAAAATATAATTATCATAATATATTTTGTTATTATTATTTATTATTATAAATATTCTTATTATTATCATTATTATTAATATTTAAATAAAAATTATCTTATATTATATATATATATATATAATATTTAAATCATAGAAAAAATATTTTTTTCAATATTTTAAATATAGTCAAAATATCAATTAAATTATTAAAATAATAATATTATTTATTTGTATTATAAAACTGCTAATAATAAAATTAAAAAAGAATCTTAAATTAATTTTATCATTAAATTTAAAGCAAATATTTAAATTAAATTATTTTTAAATTAAGATTTTATATTTATTTTTTTTGTTAAAATTTTTATATTTATCTTTTAATTATAATAATTATAAACTTTTTTTTAACCTAAGGGAAAAATAGTAATCTTACAAAATCATCAATTAAAAAATTCATTTTTATCTATCACATCAATTAATTCACTCACAAACTTTCTCTACACTTTCCACTCACTTTTCCTTAATCCAAACAACCTCACTTTCCCTTCAAATCGCTTCTTTTCCACTGCCCCTTTTCCATTCTCAAATCCGAGCAAAGGCTAAAAGTCATACACCAATCGTGCAACATTCTGAGTAAGGAATAAGTAATTCATGGAAATAAGATGGGCCTAGAGAAAGATCAAATTTTCAATCGCCTATGGAATGGAATATGAGTAATATGCAATATTACTATTTAAAAAAAAGGTTATAGACAATCAATGTGTGAAAAAATGAGAGATGACCTTAAAAAATTGAGAATTATGAGGAAAGATGATAACTCCCAAGCAGTGATTTAAAACCTGGATCGAACCGGCCGGTCGGACCGGTTGGACCAGGAACTGATGGTCCAGCTGGTTCGAATCTTAAGTTGGTTCGGTTATGCAGTCGATCCGTTTCAAACCGGATTGAACCGATTAATTTTCCGGTTCAACTGGTGAACCGGTGGGTCAAATTGGTTCAACCACTTTTTTTTCTTATTTAAAAAAAAAATCTTAAGGGACCATAAACCACAAAAATAATAATGAAAATTAAATCTCTTAATGAAAGAGCAAAGAGTATTATTAAATATAACAATAACTACTTGTTCTAATGTATTTGTTTGTAATATATACAACTTAAATAACTTTTATAGTATACTATTAATTTTAAATTATATATTTAGTAATATAATATCTATGTAGATATTACATATATTATTTTTTGATATCAATTACAAGCATATTATATATGTACATATTATTTATATTTTTAATTTGTATTAATATACAGTTTAACATGTAATTTTTTATGTATTTTTGTACAAAATAAAAATAAAACTAATTTTAAATAAGAGAAAAATTGAAATTTAAAATAATATATGAATTTATTAAAATTCATAAGTATAAAATATATTTAATATGAATATTTTTTTAATAAAAATAAATAAAAATCGAGTCATGCGGTTCAACTAGTGACCCACCGGTTCAACTTTTGACCCATTGACTCAATACCTTATCCAGTTCGATGACCGGTCCAGTTTTTAAAACTATGCTTCCAAGTTATATAATCCAAAACTTTGATGATGAAGATGCCTATTTAGCAACAACCAAGGAAGTTGCAAAATCAAAGTAGATAATAGATTTTGCTGCCTCGAAACATATTTATAAATGCAAAGTGTAAAGGGGAGGCGATTGATATTAAGAGGGCAAAAGAATAGGAAAAATCTTCCTACTTTGGAAAGCTAAATATTTTGATCAAGTAATTATTTGAAAATTAACCCCTATATATTAAACACAATTTTTTATCTTATGCGAGAGTATTTTTAGGATATTTTCTTTAACAAAAGTGTTTGTAGAAATTTTTTTTTTAAATTTCTTATCTAATTTAATTTTTATTTATTATAATTATTTATAAATTAAATATTAATCATTTGAAAGAAAATATCAATAAATAAAAACTAATTTTTTGTTATAATACAAATTATTTATCATAAATCTAAAATATAATTTATATATTCAAAATATTTAAGTATACTAATTTTAAATATAATTTAAATATTCAAACATAATATTTATTTACTTATACATATAATTCATTATAAATTTTAGTTATATTTAACATATTTATGATACATGCTAAAATACTAGTCTTAATTATGGGAAGATAATTCAAATTTCTAATAAACTTAGTAAGTGAACATTCAAGGAGTTAATTTAAGAATTTGTAATCTTTAGGATAATTTTATATTTATGGTTTTATATTTTTAATCAATTTGTTTTAAAATCTTAATATTATTTAAGATTTGTTTCCTTTTTTTTTTTTTTTTTTGGGAAAAGAGTAATCAATCATCCTAAAGTCTACTCTTTTAACAAATTATTTAAATGTGAAATATGAATATGATTTAAATATTTATTATTTAACAAATAAAGAAATAACTTTTTTAGTCCCACACATGCATTACCCAAAATGCTAGAACAATTCATCAATAAGCCCAATTCCATTATCTATGCTAATCCCCCGCTATATAAGTGGCAGGCAGAACAAAAAAGTTATTGTATGGAGTATAGTTGTATTGTATGTGCTATCGTTTCACACGCATCAATTGCACCAACAAATAACTGCGCAAACATCACAATACATGCGCACACCGCAGACAATTATTCATTTCATTCATGAAAAAGAAAAAATTAATACGAGGGTTGTTTTTCCAAGGTACACTATTTACGACCTCACTCAAGCCCTACCCCATTCCTTTGTAAGAAGTAAGAACTAACAACACATGCTTGAGATATCTAACTCAGTCAGAGAGATATGGACACATAGAGCTTCCTTAATTATCTCACTGAGCCAAAAGACACACAAAAAAAAAAAAAAAAAAAAAAAAAAAAAGGAAAATAAAAAAAAAAAAAAAGGAGAGAAGAACTGTAAAAAAAAAAAAAGAGAAAGGAGAGTGCTTGTTTAACTGGACATTATATTATAGTAGTAAGGAGAAAAAGACATAAAGTGTCACTTGAGTTTTAAAAGTTATAAATAAAATAAAATAAATTGAATAAGTAGTTGTAAATGATTATTTAAAAAATATGAGTGATTATTTTATTTTATTTTAAAAAAAAAAAAAAAAAAAAAAAAAACTAGGAAGATTAAAGAGCAGCCCGAAACATCCCTAACCAACCAACACAAGTCATTCTGGGACCACCACAACTGCTACGCCACAGAGCTGAGACCACCATTCCATTATGGTGCACACTAGGATCCTACGCGTCTGGGCTCACCCTATATATGCAGCCGCTGAAACGGTACGAAAATGTCACCCACCCATTATTCTGCAACAAGCCCTAGAGTTCATTAGATTTTCCTGCTTTGGTCCTGCTTTTACAAATAATTCTGACTTCTAAATGCTTACACCTCTATGACTCTATCACAAACCTCCCTTCAATTATGTTACAATAATTATGGCAACGTGAAATGTTAAGTCTATATCAAACTGGGCAATGCCAGTGGCATCAGTTTCCACAACCTTTTGACCTTTATGCGCAATATATAGTTCTTCCAACCCGGCATTCACACCATAAAACACCGAGGCCTAGAACCATGTTGCTTGTGATACCGGCGAGGAGTTTTCAATACAAATTCTCAAACGCTGGGGCTACAACGAAGGCTGCGAAACCAAGGTGTGTATACGCTATTCCCTCGTCAGTTTTAATAGCTTTGACTTTATACAAATACATATCTGTGATACGTAGATGGTTGAAAGAGCACGTTAAGTATAGAAGCTGCCATTTGGGGTTAGGTTGAATAGAGCTTTGCATGCTAGGGCTAAACCAAAGGCTACCAAGTTAAAGCAATTTATTAATCAAAGTAATGGATACAGTTGAGTTGTAATATAGACCCCAAGATTTATAAATGAAACCGTTCGAGTTTATTCCCTTGCTTTCGAGTTGGCACTGGCACAAGTCAACTATGCTGTACTTTTTTTTGCATGAGAAAGAATACGAATCCAAGAAAGAAGCAAAAATTAAAAGCAGGGAGATCAAGAAGGTCGCCACTATCATCCACAACTGTGGCAATTGGTAAAGTGGTCTGAGTATTTTACAGTTGGGAAATAAAAGAATCAACAAACTATTATTTCCCTGGGCTTCATTTTGTGCCCAAGCATAAGGTCTTTAAATCGCAAAATATAGACCTGTCCTACGTGATACCAACATTTTCCATCCATGTTAAGACTTAGAATTTTATTTTTCCAAAGTCAATTTTGTAAAGAAAGAACGAAACATAACAAGAAATAAAAGTTGATAGGGCAAAAGCACGGGGCACGCATCATCATTTGTTAATTAGAAACCGAAGCAAACATGCTTTTAGTTGAGGAATATACAGCTTCACCACATAATAAAACCATTTTGCAAAATAATAATAATAATAATAATAAATTGCATAAAAAAAACCAACAAAAAAAGACTTCATACGACAAAGAACTGGTGCTATCATCTCTTTCTTGTCAGAAACCAAAGCAAACATGCTTTTCTGCTGCTCAGTACAAGTTAGTGTAAAATTTTAACATGAACGACCCGTGTTTAATTAGTATTTGTTTCTCTTGTTATACACAATAAAAATATTTGTTAGATATATATCACTAGCTTTTAATTTATTACTGAGGTAAGACACTATTTTTAAACATAACCAATCCTGCACAAGAGGGTTTCAGTCCTATAATTACACGGAAGCACGAAGGTAACGGCAATTGAACCAATATGTTATGTAATTGAAAGTCGAATACGATGTTAGTTGTAGTGATTATGGTTAGGTTACCAACTAATTTAAAACACAAATTTCTAAGCAAATTCACATATTTTCCAACCAAGCAGGACAAAGAACGAAATCATTCATAATGATCGAGGAAGTGACTAATGCGCTACATCCGCAACCAAGACTGGAAAATGAACTTAAGGACAAGTTCGCATGAGGTACACTATTTAAGACCAGATATGTATTCTGATTATTATTTACTTGAGGTTACTTCAGACTGAAAACAAGAGTAAAGCTCAATTTCAATCAGACATTTTGACAGACCGGCATAACATGTACTTACATTAATAAACTTTGATCTTAGGCTTAGTTGTGTAATAGAGTAAAAGGATTTTTATTTTCAGTTTGAGTAGTCTAATAAACCCCTTAGAATGATTGAAGGTGCGGAAGGAAACATAATATTTTGCTGTAAAGGATAGCATACAATTTGTATGAAGGTTGACAAGTTTATTGTGCTGGAAATATATTAGGTAGGTATAATATCTCACATGTACGAGGAATGAATTATCCTTATACCTTTGTATATAATAATTTCTTCTTCGACTAAACAAAAAATAAAACACTAACGACAGTGTTCAAACAGTTCATAAAAAAAAAAAGTATAATCACAATGTGAAATCCACGGTACAAAAGAGATTCTACATTAACTTTTTTCTTTCTTCAAACATTAAAAGTTCTAATTACTAAATCAAATAGAAAACTGCATTCAGATCATCTTGAGCTAATTAAACTGCTTATATCCCAACATTAATGATGACTACCGTACCCTTTCATTGATTAACGAGTTTTCTCTTCTAGATAAAATTCTATCAATGCCCTCCAAAATAACAAAGTTACCGCTATATATTTAAATATTTACTTTCAAATCGTAGCCCGACCATGACAATATATTGACAGATAGAATCTTCCATTGGTTTATTACGTTTTGCGTACATAATCACGGAAAACATAAAAAGTAAAAATAAATAATAAAAAAATAAATCCACAACGCTTATATTTAAAACAACAATAAAAAGTTCTGACGTTTCCTAATATTCCCGTTAACCTTAACCAACAAAAAGGAAATATTCAAACTCAAGGCCACAATCTCTTTAATTAGAAGAAAAAATATTAGAATTAAGACTTAGATTTTTAGCAATATGTATGGATTCCAAACTTCATGCAACCGAGGAAAACTAACTATACGAGGCAATGAAGTGTCAAGTCCCCGAGATGTTAAACAAACAACCCATAAGTAGTCAAATCCAAACAGAAAAACTTTTCAGAAACCAGAGACAACTAAAGAATCAGAAACACCAGAAATTTGCCAGTGAGATTCCTATACCTTCATGCATTAATCTTCAAAGGTGACATTTATAACTGCATATGTATCCATTTTCATAGCCCAAAATCATGATGCAAAAGAAAAATGAAGAATGTGTAACATTGATTTTTTAGTGTAATTTATTTAATTAAAAGCAAATGTATTAGCCTGTTTCCTATTATAAGGAAAACTATAATATGTTACCCCATAGTCACATGGGTCAGAATGGAAAAGTGAACATTGTAGAAGCGTCAAAATATTTTTGGAGATGATAAATGATTACAAGATGTTACCATGTTAGCCATGCTTGTATGCTTCGGAGTAGGATTTGAAACCTGTATAACTCAAGCAAGCCATACGGAGGAGTACGAAATATCTTCATCGAATCAATGGAAAAAAAATCGGTTGAAAATTTAAATATTGTTAATTAAAATAAAAGCTTGCTTTAAAGGCATTCCATATACAGCTAGCTTGCCAGGTAAAAACAATTTATCCAATAAAAAACATAAAATGTTAAAAAAAAAGAGCATGTTATTAGTCTTGTCTCTATCCTCAGTTTGTCCATCTTATATCTCTCCATTGTGAAACCTTAAATCATAAAATATACTTAAAAAATACTCTATAAAACAATAATATATTGTGCGGTTCACAACCTTATAAAAAGTTGACTTTTGATGCTAGTTAGTTATTAGCTACAAGTTATGTAATTATGAGTAAAAAATGTGCAAGTAATTGTAACATGTTAGCACATATCTCAGGGAAAAAGTGATTTAAATGATACTGATCAGAGAGTACAGGGGTAGAGCCAGTGATGAGAGAGTGCATGTTGCATCACAAGGTTTTTCGAATCATGCTGACATCTTAACCTTTCCTTTTGTTTTACTTATTTTAGTGTTTTTGGATCAAGCAACATTTTGTATTATGCAATATGCTACACTCATTAGACATAAAATGGAGTGTTCCCCTATATACGTATAGTTTCCTGCATGTGCATTAAATATGAGCATACTGATTAGCAATATTTCCTCTTTAGTAATCAACATCACATCTATGCAAAGTTAGCTTGAATAAGATGTTAGAATTGCAGTATCACATGGGCAAGAGGGAGAGAGATCTTTCGGCATTTAAACTTGAACGCTCTCGTGCATGGTTGGACCGCCCATACCGAAATATGAAGAATTATTTTTTTTTTTTTCACAAAAAAAGAAATCATGGTGGAGAATTAGTCCAAATAAAGATCAAAACTGTGTTTCCAGTTCAATTCGAAACCGGCAAGCATACGGATAAAAGGGGAAAAAGCAGCTTCGAAGTTGAGAACCTACCAGACAGCGTGATATAATTCAACAATGAAAGGAAAAACCAACCCCTAAAAATAACATTAAAAAACGCAGTACAACACAATACTAGCTAGAAGCAGATGTGCATTCCTATAGTACAGAGAAAGAAACAAATTAAGTAGCATTGGCTAGCTAACTAAAAATATATCCTTAATTACCAGGAAAAAAGACAAGAAGATAACACATTTTAAAAGTAATTAATCATTGATAATTTGCATTTGCATTTGCATAAAAAACAAAACACGAGACGTCTGAACTTTCTTTCGTTCTCTCCTACTCGAATGCGTATGAAATTTAATTTAGTACTACAAGATGATAAAATAGCGGGAAGACAAAGGTTGATAAAGGGAGGATGCAGTAAATTAATCATAAAATTGTGTTTGTTTGGACTGTGTGGCGTGTTCAAGATCGTGGGTGAGGGAAGAATTGCGTACCGCTGCTACCAGGCATGAAGGTGTTAAGAGGAGCGGAATACATGGAAGAGGAAGGATCAACAAGTGCCCCAGACACAACGGTCCCGGAAGTGAGGTTTAACCCTCCAACACCAGCGGAGGAGCTCTCCCCACCACCCATGTAATTAGTGTTACTTTCTGGACCATAGTCGTATAAAATTCCTCTGAACACGTGACCTCCAATGTTGACGGCGGTTGAGTAAGCGTACTCCTCCTCCGCATCGTCCACGGAGCTCACACGTACGCACCTAAAGTCCGCCGAAGACCTCACCACTGCAGGGAAATTCATCTCCTCTAACCCTATAATATAATATTAAGAGAGAAAAAGAGATTAGCTAGATGCAGATGTATGTTTGAGAATTGAGAGTTAGAATCTATGAATAGAGACTGAGACAAATACATATGAGTGAAAGTTAGAAAAGAAAGAGGACAAGTGAGAGAGAGAGAAAGAAAGAACAGGTTGTTCTTCTCTGTCAATCAGGGATACTGTGTTTGGGAAAAGAAAAAGGCGACCGAAAGAGAAAGAGAAATTTAGCTTGGCACACCGCACACGCAATTGCAATTGATACCGTCCTTGTGTTGGAGGTAGCATCCATAACTTTCTCAGTGGCTCAGAGAATTTTTCTGGACGCGTCTCTCCGTTATTCTTTTCTTTCATACACTCACACACGTTTCCTTTTCAACAAGTGTGACAAGACAATATATACCTGAGGGGGAAGGGTTTGAAGGAAGGCGAGTGCAGGCGAGAGGCGAAGAATTATGATCCCTCTCTCTGTGGCGGTCTCCAGAAGGTTCGAGGGTTTGTTGTTGTTGTTGCAAAACGGCGAGTTGTTGTTGTCGTTCGCGGCGTCTGGAAGCGGGAACCCAAGTGCTCTTGACATGAGTTTGGCAATCAAAGCCTCGGCTCTTGCAGCACGTTCTACAGCGCATGTGAGGACAATCTTTCTTAGCTTGGTTCCCGCAGTCCTGACAGCTGATCCCTCCGCTAGCCATGAAGCCGGATCTCGAAGAGGACTGATCATCGGAGATGGGCCTGCTGGACCCAACTCCTAACGCGGAATAGAGATCTTGGTGAAAGAGAGGTCGCGGTTGGCCCACAAGCTGTTGCTGTTGCTGTTGCTGTTGCTGGTTCCATAGCTCCAACCCACTCCCTCCACCTCTGTAAGAGGAAATGTCCTCATTCTTATTGTACCAGAATAAGGTATCAGGAGGAGGAGGAATTTCCTCTTGACCGTTGTTGTTGTTGTTCCCTCTCCCTCCTAGTGAGAATAAACCCGCCATTCTTTTGCCTCCTCTAGTGACCTCCGAAAATCCATATCAAGAATACCTCGATCGCCAAACAAACGGCCCCCACTCAAACACACATATAATTAAATTATTAATCCACCACAACTCTTCTGCTTCAATTAATTTCCTACGCAACAATTAATAAACTCTTTGGTTTTTGTGTGCGCGCGTGTGTTTCTATAAATTTCTTTTCTCTCTCTATCTTTGGACAGAAATGAATCCAGTGTCGATTCTTAACTTGTACAAGTAGTAGTAGTAGCTGTTGTGTCGTGTGTGGTTAAAGAGTGGTTGTTAGTTGAGGAGAGAGTGTCGGGGCTCGGGTTCATTCTCTCTCGGCCAGGGCAGCGTCAAGGGGCATTAATACAATCACAAAAGCACTGCAAACGCCGCCATGCCCTTCTCTGCTGTGCTGCCCCGCTAATTTAAGTTTCCCATCCCATTCTTCTTTTCTTTGTCTCTCTCTCTCTGAGCTTCTGACCACTTCTCCTTTTGTGTCTGTGTCCTGTGGTGTTGTTAAGTTAGCATTTAGCAACTTAGCACTATCACAATACAAAACCACTCCTCACTTGTCACTACTCACTACTCACTACTCACTACTCAATACTCATCTCTTTCTTTTTTATCAAAAATTCTAATGGAATGGATGTCATTCATCTCATCTCAACGACTCACATTAATTTCTATTTCCATCCTACGTTTCATCTCCTTCCACGTGGCAAACACAAACACCTTTCTGCGCCTCTGTCCTTTCATACCGGAAAATCCGCTGCTTTTTCTCACACTTTGCCTCTTTTTTTATATTTTTATTTAAATTTTTCTGTCAACCTTCAAATCTATTTTTTTTATTAATTACTAATTCTCATAAGTAATTACTAGTTAAAATTATGACTTAGATATGGTATTATTCTCTTTAAATAAATTTACTAATAATTTTTATTAGATAAATTTCATTCCTCTTGAGAGAAACTTGTCTTATTTATTTTGATAAGAGTTTTATTTTTCTTGTTACAAATAAGTTTCGCTTACTTTAAATATGTAGGTCAAATTTATTTAATAAAATCAAACTTTAATTTATCATTTATATAATTTAAGATTTAGTCTTTTTAAAAGTTACATGACATGTTGATTTATTTAAAGTTTATTATATATTAATAATATTAAATAAATTAATAAATTTAATTTAAATAAATTTAAAATTTGATTTTTAAATATATGTATAATTTTTTTAAAATTTATGCTATAAAAAATAATTTATTTCATTATTTATTAAAATTTATATTAAAAATAATAATAATTTAATCTAAGAAAAACAACTCACAAATGCATATATATATATATATATCAATGTACATGCATGAACAAGTTATGATGAAAGAGATAAATTTTATAAAGAAAATAAAATTTTAAATATTTTATATATTTCATTTAAAATATTTTAAATTATCAATCATGAATATAAAGAAAAAAAAAAGTCAATGAAGTTCTAATTATTAGAATTTTTATTTTTAATTTCTTAAATTTCGGATGGAAAAAGAACAAAATAATATTTAAATGTAGAAAAATATAAAATAAATATTGATAATTTTTATTATAATTTATATTGTTAATAATATAATATATATTTTATTTATGGGATATACATTTTATGTTGTTTTCTTTTATTACGTTAAAAATTACAATCATTTTTCTTTATAGATTTCAACATATAACACTTTAGCCA